TGTGTGAATATACTGATGTTGAACTTGTTGAGGGGATCAACCAAGATAACTCCGAGTTCAAGGTTCTCAAGGCTTACAAGTTTGTCAAGAACTCTGCCAACCAACAATCACTGAAACTCGTCCTCGAGCCACCTGAGGAAGCCAAGTTCATCTGTGACCATGGCCTGAAATGTTTTGACACAAAATACACACCCAACCAAGTCAGTATGGAGAGGTTTGTCTCCATCACTCAATGCTTCAGGTGCTATCACTTCGGTCATGACACGAACAAGTGCTCCAATGAGAAACCTGTCTGCAGCATCTGTGCAGGTGACCATGCATACAGGGAATGCCACAACAGAAACAATCCCAAGTGCACCCTCTATGGTGGTCAACACTATGCTGTCTCACCCAGCTGCCCTGTCAGGAAATCTGAAGTCCAAAAAATCCTTGAAAACAAGAAACTGGCCAGTGCCAGTATGTCCTCCCACTATGTCACATGAGTCTTTCCCCAACCTATTGAACTCCTCTGGTAATGCCCCTATTGCCACTGCTTCACAATACAATGCTTGGAACCCCACCCCCCCAGCCCCACCCTACCCCTGGCCCTCACCAATCCCAAGGTTTCCCTCCTATCCCATCCCTACTGGGCTCATCCAAGAAGGGATAATGAAGAGCACTGCTTACTTCATGCTGGCCAAAGAGTTGTCCAAGGGCAATGACCACCTCTGCTGCACCATCCTCAATGAGTTGTTTGTAGCAAATGGCGCTTCAGCCATAATCATCCCCAACTCAATGCGCTCATACATGAGCCCCTCTACTCAAACTCCCACACTCAACCAACCAACCACCAGCAGGGAAGCTACAACCCTTGCAACTGCCCGGTGGCTAAAGCTTCCGCTTCACACACGGAGGGCCCGGGTTTGATTCCTGGTGGGTGGAAACATTTCGACGTGTTTCCTTACACCTGTTGTCCTGTTCACCTAGCAGCAAATAGGTACCTGGGTGTTAGTCGACTGGTGTGGGGTCTCATCCTGGGGGACAAGATTAAGGACCCCAATGGAAACAAGTTAGACAGTCCTCGATGACGCACTGACTTTCTTGGGTTATCCTGGATGGCTAACCCTCCGGGGTTAAAAATCCGAAGGAAATCTTATCTCACAGCCTACCACCACTGAGGCCAACCCAAAGGACCAACCTGGTTCCACCACCACCCCGTGTGAGACAGCCGTTGAGCTGTCTCACACGGGGATGGCCACCCCACAGTGGGGTGGCCATCCTAGTGAAGCAGGGGCATGAATTTCGCAACTTACATGTCAACGAGGACAACATCCTAGCAATAGAAGTGCCAACATCACATGAGCGACTTATTGTGGGGACAGGGTACTTTCCTCCCAGACAACCATACATTAAATCTATTCCCTTACACTGTCTACACAGTAGAAATGCCCCTACTGTCTTGGCAGGGGACTTCAATGCCCACCACCCCGCTCTCTTCAACTCTGGTGCCACCCATCCCCAAGGGGACTACAAGGGGAAACAACTATTCAACATAATGGCAGTGAAAGACCTTACATTCCAAGGCCCATTCTTTAAGTCATTCGTGGGCCACCACCCAGGTACACCCGATGTAGTACTTACCAACAGAGACTGTGATGACCTGTTCCACTGTAGTCTCTCCCCAGGTGGTAATGTTGGTTCAGATCACATCCTCATCATAATCAAGCTCCAATCCACACCATTCCGGACACCCACCCTCCCCAGACCCAACCTGAAAACAATAGGCTTTGACCTCTACAGGGCCTTCTTAGGAAATGACCAAACTACTTCACTCGAAGACCATCCCTCCACAGCAATAAATGGGACAGTTAACTCACTCCATGCCAGAATCAACGAGGTCACACAAGCATGCTGCACACTAACAACTTCCAGGATCAACCAACAATACAAACCAACCAGGGAAATCAAGGACAGAATGAATAACTACCAAACTGAGTGTAGCAAACACTTGCACACAGGGCAGCCCACCCGGGAAGTACTACTAAGAATGAGGAGTGAGTTAATCGCCCTTATAACCTAACACAAAAGAGACTTATGGGAATATCTGGTGTGCCAAGCAAACCAGTACAAGTGCCACCCAGACCAATTCTGAAGTAAGATCCATAGACTCCTAGAGGCTAAACACACTCCCACTCAACACCTTACACACTCCTTCACCGACGAAGACGTGAGGAAGTGACTACCCTGCTCGAAGACCCACAAGATCAAGCTAAGCTGATGGGAGAAGTATGGGAGAAAATTCCCTCACATAATGACAGCAGAAGATTTAACAATAACCACTACCTGTGGGTCAACCAATGGAGAGATAAAAACCTGGAAGACCTCCATCCTATACCATCAATTGACACATCTTCTCTCAAAAGCGAACACCCTCTAACTAGACCTATTACTCTCAGGGAAGTGTCCCAAGTCGTTGGATGAATGAGAAACACAGCACCTGGCCCATCAGGCATAACAGCTAAACAGTTAAAGTACCTTCCCCATAACTGCAAGATGTCACTGGTGAATATTTTCAATGCCATCTTGGCATCAGGACATTTCCCAGTGGCATTAAGTCAGCAAGGATGATCTTCATCGCCAAACCCAACAAGGACAACCATAACCCTGAGAACTACAGGCCTATCTCCCTTCTTGAAGTCACGGGCAAAGTCTTCGAAAGAATAATCTCTAACAGACTGAACTACTACGTGGAATTCAACCACCTATTCTCCGAAAGGCAGTTCGGCTGCAGGTCCCACCGCGGCACGCAGCATGCAATAAACATCATCTTTGATGCCGTGGCCAGCCTGAGGAAGCAAGGGAACCTGGCCCTGATTGCAACTAGGGACGTACACAAGGCCTTCGACAGTCTGTGGCATGATGGACTCATTTTCAAACTTGTAGACCTCCCAGACCACAACTGGACCTTTCTCAGGCTCATATACAATTTCCTAACAGGTAGAAGTATCATTCCCACTTTCCATGGCATGGCCGCAACACCCTTCACGCTGACAGCAGAGTACCACAAGGCTCTTGCCTCAGCCCTATATTCTTCAACACATACGTCAACTACCTCCCCCAGCCCGAACACAATGATACCATCATCACCCAATTTGCAGATGATGTCATCCATGTCGTCTCTTCAACCCCCATCTCTGGTGCAAACAAGCATAGGAGAGCAATAGAGAAAATGAACAAAGAATTAAGGAGAACAGCTATGTGGGAGAAAAAATGGAGAATCACAAGCAACCCAGAAAAAGTCCACATCAGTAACATCAGCTGTTTAGCTTCAACCATAGACACAAAGGGAGCATTTCCATCAGAGGTACACAAATCGCTATTAGTAATCCAAACAAAATCCTAGGGTATGAGATCGACAGATTACCCCACTCTACATCCCACATAACCAAGAAACTGAACCTAGCAAAAGCCCACCTCGGTCAACTTTACCGATTCAATGCAGCCCCCTCCCACATCAAGAAACACCTGAACAAGATGATGATCAGACCTCTGCTAGAATACCCTTGTATACCCATTCACTAACAACTAAAACCAACATGCTAAAACTTCAAAAAGTCCAAAACAGAGCCATCTGCTTTATCACCAGCACCAGATTCAGAGGCAGAATCAGGATGGAAGACCTGCATACACAACAGAGAATTACTGCAATTAATGTCAGGCTAGACAAACTAAAGAAGAGACAGATACATGACATGCAGGAACTCCATGTACCTGACAGAGAGAACCCACCCCATCCATCGAACATGACCGACCACACCATCAACCCCCCCCCCACACACACACAGATCCCAGAGAATGACCCTCCAACAAAGAGTCCGACGCTTCATCCACAAGGAGAACTTCCCTCGACCAAGAATCCTGAGTGACCTCCCTGAAGAAGAAGAATGGATGCCACCAAAACCATTCTACGTCCAGTAACATGGATTAGCACTCCCCAATTCTGGGTGACACACTTCTGTCAGTCAACACCTTACAACTAACCTTATAACATCTGCTACCTTCCTACAGCAGGACAGCACCTCAGAAACTGCTTAGCCAACCAACTCCAGGTGAGCATCCAATCTCCATCAAACAACCTGCAACTAAAGCCTTATGACTGACCTCTTGCGCAAAAAAAAAAAAACAACAACAGGCAATTGCAAACAGTATCATCCCTCCAATTCAGTGGCACACTGGTATACAGTTGGTATAGTGATGTGCAACTAACAGGCAGGAGGTATACCAATGTCATGAATTCAACTTTCCACGAGTAACACACACACGCACAAGTATTTAAGTTGCACCAAAGTGGATAGGCCACTTACCTTTAAAACCCTACCTCCCAGACCTTTCACACATTCCATCCTTACCCATCCTTCTTCCTTCCCCATCTTACCAAAGCTCTGGTCAGAACCTTGCACACACACACACAAGTACATACACATGTACAAATGCACATATGTACAAGCATGCACATGTATATACATATGCATACATATTTTTATATTTTACTACAATCAAATTTGATGACTGCTCATATAGAATAAGGTAGCAGCACAATGCTGCTACCAATTTGGGTAAATCTAAACAAAATTGCATTGAATTATGCCTATTGAATGATTTGAGATATGGGGAAGGGGGGGAGGCCAGTTATGTAATACAGATGTACCTTTCTTGGATCACACAACTGAAATGCATCTAGTTTTTAGCATTTACAGCATATATTATCACAGTTTTTCAGCCTGCTGTGAAATTTTGGATGCATTTTTTTCAATTGGGTTTACAGAAAATTGCACTGTGTGAGGTCACAACATAAGGGTTACTGCATCAGTGGTTTCAGTATTCTTGTCAGCTCCAGGAATGTAAACCTCACGAGTTATGGGGTTGCAGTATACACAGTACACAAAATCAAATTATACATTCATTTCTTTCTCTAAATTATCTATGTTGTGCTGAGACTGCAGAACATTTGGCTTACCCACCTGTAACATAGAGATGGTGTGTGTCAGGTTTCTGATGGTGGCATCTCGGGCTGCCAGTTGTTGTTGCAACTCTTCCACTCGTGCCACCCATGCTACTTCAACATCATCCTGGTCAAATAATATGTGTAAACAAAAGAAAAATGTGTCCTGAAAAAAATGTTACATACAATGTGAGCTTGAGGTGCTCATTCAGTGGCAGTCCTGGGCATAACCAGTATAGGCCTAGAGCACCAACTAGTTCTTCTGCTTTAAGGTGCAATAGCCCATATGGAAATAGACTTTTCTTGGATAAAGTTGTATTAAGGTGAAACTGCGAAATCTTTGAGTGTTCAGTTACTCCTTATACAAGATTTACTTGTAGTTTTCATTTGAAGACAACTTGTTCTTACTTGAGGCTCAGAACAATATATGATGGTGCTTTATTAAACAGTGTGTGTGTGTGTATTCAGTGTGATATATTGTGGCAGATATTATTCTCTGGGGAGGAGGGGGAAGGGCATCTTTGCATGATCCCACCAAGGGCACCAAAAATGCCAGGACTGCCACTGTGTTTATTACATAAGCAATTTTCACAATCTCTGAATCACAAGATCATTAGGAAAAGGCCAGGATACTTCAGACACTTTTTACAAGAATATATGTACAAAAATCAGATTTTACGATCAGATTCATTTGTATTGTGTTATAGTATGGATAATTGGTGCTTTCTAACCAGAACTGGCTGGCTTTGCTTATTAGGAAAGGATCATTTTTTCCCTATTAGCTAAGTGTATATTAATTTTTGCTATAACAACAAAAATGAGTTGGAAAAATCCCAAAATTAATGTAATTTATTGATATATAATACTAACAAAAGTTTGACTTTATAGTGTGGTAGGCTTAACATATGTAAATTCGAATAAGATCAGATTAAAGAATAAAAAGGCATAATACAGTGACTGGAACAATGCACAAATAACCCCTCACATAAGAGACAAACTTATGAGGACATTTTGGTCTGACTTGGACCATTAACTAGTCAGAGAAGCATGTAGGAAAGGCTCCCTTCCCTTCATGCTCCTGTGTGACTAGTTAACCCTTAAACTGTCCAAACGTAGATCTACATTCACATGCGTTGCGCTCAGACCTTTATTTTCCTCATTTGAAAGCATGTAAAAAAAAAGTAGATCTACGTTCGGACCCCCCCCCCCCCCCCCCCCACGTTAACGTAGATCTACATTTGGACAGTTTAAGGGTTAATGGTCAAAGCCAGACCAAAATATTGTAATAAGTTTCAGTATCCTATGTGTGGGTTATTTGTGCAAGATTAAATTAAGTTAGTTTTGGTGCAAAACTAGAAAAATTCTTAACATTAACACTTGTGGATGTATTTATCAGTCTACAAGAAAAAATACTGAAATGCTTCAAGAAAATTCAGCTTGTTGGATCAGTCTGGCTAAAAAGCATGATGCACATATATCTTAGGTATTTTTTCTATGACATTTAACATTCTATAATAAACAGGTTTGGATAGAAATTTAAAAAGATAAAATTATTAAAAATCTCAAAATGTACACTTTCTGATTCCCCTGCATATATTACATGGAAAGGCTGTAGACAACCCCTCCCCCCCCCAAAAAAAAAGCCATTTCCTACCTAGGTAGGATGACCCAAACAAGACACATTTATCAACAATTATTTAATAGGTGGCTGTACACAGGTATCACAGTTCAAATTACCCACCAAACTGCAACATTCTTACCAGTCCTCCAGAATGAGTAATTCCCACCTCCAGGACTCAAATTTGAATAGCCAATTTCTTTGAATTCTTTTGTAAATCTTATCTTTCTTGCATCCCAAGAGCAAACCAAATCCAAAGAACAACTTGTCTCCACTCATCTAGTATGCTCACACATACATGCTAGATGACTGAGCTCCTACCACTCAAAACCTAAGTCACCCCAACCCTTCCTGTGAATACCCCTTTCCATCCTTTTGTCCACCCCAGATTTATACACTTCAGTCATCTTTTTCTGTTCTGTACCCTTTAAATGACCAAGCCATCTTGTCTATCTTCTGAATTCTGCCTTTTGTACTCCCCACAACATCTAGCTTGAACATTCCTTGTTCTCTGCATAATATTTACACCATGCATCAATGTCAAACAAGACATCTCCACTCCTCCTCACTGCAGTGCTTAAAATTTAGACATGCCTTACACCCATTCAAAAAATGTTGACACTACTATACTCTGCGGAAATAAATGGTATCAAATACCGACACAGTGGAAATATAAACACATATGCAGTATAATGTGATCCTTTATTGACAACGTTTCACCCAACGGGAGTATTTATAGTCATGTTCAGAATGTTGAGGTCAGGTGGAGAATGCTGCATCTGATGATCTACCGGGTGGAGTTATAGAGTCTTGGGTCGCTTGGCAGGGGTATTGGACAAGTTGTGAGTAGACCTTCTGTAGTGTTCTATGTTCTTATGTGGGATAGCGATGAAGAAGTTTCTTGGCGAGTGGTTCAGCTATGTTATAGAAGCCGTTGTTCTGGTTGAAATTGTTGGTTATAGAGATAAGCGATGATTCCAACAATATAACCAACAATTTCAACCAGAACAACGGCTTCTATAACATAGCTGAACCACTCGCCAAGAAACTTCTTCATCGCTATCCCACATAAGAACATAGAACACTACAGAAGGTCTACTCACAACTTGTCCAATACCCCTGCCAAGCTACCCAAGACTCTATAACTCCACCCGGTAGATCATCAGATGCAGCATTCTCCACCTGACCTCAACATTCTGAACATGACTATAAATACTCCCATACCTTCCACCCCAGGTAGATCTGTGTGTGACTTGAAAAAGCCCACTGTGTGGGTGAAACGTTGTCAATAAAGGCTCACATTATACTGCATATGTGTTTATATTTCTACTATACTCTGCACATTTCCTGTTTTTCATTGATAAACTTTTATACTGTATCTCCCTAAATCAAAAAACATTTAAAGTAGGATAATGTCAAATAGTACCTGAGTAATGTTAATGTGGCAGATCATGAGTGTGGTACTTTGCGATATTGATCCTGCGTTCATTATGAATAATATCTTATTGTAATTACATAAATTTGATTACATGACCAGGTTTGTGGTACCGAGAGATTCCTTGGACAGGGTGAATGCATCTGCACTGTTTGTTGACCAGTTAACAAAGATACATGAAGAGGTGTTTGAGGCTGTGTATGTGACTAGTAATTTCTGTCCTTTGAATACTAAAATGAACTTGATTTGTGATTTCTTCCTTCTGGTATTAATCCTATGTTGCTCAGTTACACAGGTATTATAGAAGTGTGGAGCATAGACTGTATACTCTTGGATCATGATCTGATTATGTAGATGCTTGTAGACCATTTGTGAACAGTCTATCGACTGGAGGGGGTGAATACAACAGAGAAAAAAAATTAAGTCTTATCAAGGTGATCAGAGGCTCCTGTTCATCCATTTGAGTGACCTACTTGGTTGCATGTATCTTGATTATGTTTTCCAGCTGACCTTGAACTTCTGCTCAGAAAATAGAGAACATTTGTTCGGACCTGGATTCAATTCAAATGAATGTAGAGTTCTCTGACCGTACCAGCTCATATGGTGCCACAGGTTACCTTTTCTCAGTTTGTTTAGTGAGGATAGATTTTTGGGTTATATTAGACAGTCTGTATGACATATTGTGCACCTGAAACAGGAGATGTTTCAAAGATCTTACCTACGTGTGAAAATACTGTTCCTGTTTATGGTGCCCCGTAGCAAAAGCTCTTGCTTTGCACAGTGAGGGGTCCGGGTTCGATTCCCGGCAAAGGGGTGGAAACATTGGATGTGTTTCCTTACACCAGTTGTCTATGCTCGCCCATCAGTAAAATGGATACCTGGGTGTTATTCGACTAGTATGGGGTCACATCCTGGGACAAAACTGACCTAATTTGCCCAAAATGCTCTGCATAACAAGCGACTCTCTAGATAGTAGTATGTACACTGATGTCAGCTAGGCCTGTATACTTTGTACATGTACCTGTAGTAAATAAAGATATTATTATTATTAACGGTGTCAATTAATCTTTTTCAAAGCAATATTTTTCTGTCAATGAAGGGGGTTTTGGCTTATAACCTCAAGAAGACTCCCTTTGATTCAGTAAATATGTCAGATTATCATCTTGTTTCAAAATTTACATTCCTTTCTAATATGAGTAGGATTGAAGATGAGCAAGGAGCTTTTAAAGTGGGTAGGGGATGTGTAGATCAAGTGTTTATATTGAAGCATGTATGTGAACAGTATTCAGATAAAGGTAGGGAAGTTTTCACTGCATTTATGGATTTAGAAAAAGGCATATGATAATGGATAGGGGAGCAAAGTGGCAGATGTTGCAAGTATATGTAATAGGTAGTAAGTCACTAAATGCTGTAAAGAGTTTTTATGAGGATAGCGAGGCTCAGGTTAGGGTGTGTAGGAGAGAGGGAGATTACTTCCCGGTAAAAGTAGGTCTTAGACAAGGATGTGTAATGTCACCATGGTTGTTTAATATATTTATAGATGGCAACACTAGGGTGTTGGGGAGAGGGGTGGGATTAAATTATGAGGAATCAAATCCAAAATGGGAGTTGACAGTTACTTTTTGCTGATGATACTGTACTTATGGGAGATTCTAAAGAAAAGTTGCAGAGGTTAGTGGTTGAGTTTGGGAGTGTGTAAAGGTAGAAAGTTGAAAGTGAACATAGATAAGAGTAAGGTGATGAGGGTATAAAGTGATTTAGCTTGATCACTAGTGCACTCAGCTCACACACCGAGGTCCAGGGTTCGAATCTCCTCTGGTACGGCTGGAAAACATTAGGGACGTGTTACCATAATACACCTGCTATCCCTGTCCCTATTCACCCATCAGTTCAAAATGGGTACCTGGGTGTTAGTTGACTAGTGTGGGTCGCATCCTAGGACAAAACTGACCTAATTTGCCTGAAATGCTCAACATAACAAGCAGCTTTCTATATAGTAGTATGTAATTGATGTCAGCTAGGCCTACATACCATGTACTTGTAGTAAATAAAGATATTATTATTGTTATTGGAT